TCCTAGCCGCGCCCGCAAAGCCTAGATCCCGCTCAATCGCTCACGTCCCCTCTGCTCCGAACTCATTTCTTCAATGATCTGAGCCGTTCATGTTTTTTATTCTGTTTTGGACTCACGCTATGAGTCATTGGATATGATCTTGGTTATCTGATATGTTCTATTTGTTTTGTTCTGAGGAGGGTCCTTTCTTCTCGTCTGTCTTTTGATGGCTGGTTCTGATTCAACTAAGCCTGCTGATTCTCTGATTCAGACGAAAGTCTCTGAGTTATTTTTTGGTCGGATTACTAATCGAAAACTTGATGGCAACAACTACATGCAGTGGAAGCGGGTTGCGGAGATCTATGTGGCCAGTCGTGGGAAGACTAGTCATCTGTTGGCGGATCCTCCTACTCCGATACCTGATTCTTGAACACTTGATGATAATGTCCTTCTGCATCAGATCTTGACTTCTATGAAACCCAAAATCCAGGATCTAGTTCTTCACTACCTTACTGTGAAGGAACTCTGGGCCTTCCTGGCCGATCTCTATGGTGGTCGCAGTGATGTCAATCGCGCTTATGATGTTATTCAGGAGTTGTTTCAGAATAAACAAGATGGCAAGAACATGGATGATCACTATGGCGAGTTCAATCGCCTTGCTGAGGAGCTTCGCCAAATATTCCCCATTACTGGGGATATCAAGCAGATGCAAAGTCAGTGGAATCGCTTGATGGTTCTCGCTTATTTGGGCACTCTAGATCCTGCTTATTCCTCAGTCCGTCCACAAATCATGGGAAGTTCTGCTGTAAGTTCCCTCGCTGAGATGTATCATTTTCTGAAGAATGTTATTTCTGCACCACCCTCTACAACTTCCACAGCTAGCCAGGACCATCCTGCCCTTGCTACTCAGACCTGGCAATCTACTGGTCGGGGAGGCTACTCTGGTGGACATGGTCGTGGCCGTAGTGGTTCTGATGGTCGTGGTGGGTTCAATGGAGGTCGTTCTACTAGTCGTGGTGGACACAGAGATGGTCGTGGTGGTCCATCTCGGAGTAGCCCTGGTGATGACTCAGTTATCTACTGTCACTATTGTCATGAGCTAGGCCACATGAAGTTTAACTGTCCAAAGAAGAAGGGGAAGGAGGCATTTCTGGCCTCTCAAGATATTTCTCAGGATATCCATTCACAGTCGTCATCTTCATTCCCGGATGAGCAGTTACGTCGTCAGCTTGAGCAGTTCCAGCTTTTTCAATAGTATCAGCATACACAGGCCTTGCCGTCTTCTTCCACTGCTACTCTTGTCCAAGCAGGTACTCCTACAGCCTTTCTTACTTCATCTTCCACTCCAACCTGGATTATAGATTCCGGCGCTACTGATCATATGACTGGGAACCGAGGTATTTTGTCTTCTTTTTCTCCTATATCTAATTCTGTTGTCCTAGCTGATGGGTCTCGCAAACCTATTCGGGGTATTGGCAATGTACTCACCACTCCTTCCCTTCATTTGTCCTCTGTCTTTTATCTGCCTGATTTTCCGTACAATCTTTTATCTGTTAGTAAGATTACTAAACTTCTCAATTGTATGGTAACATTTTTTCCTTCATATTGTATATTTCAGGATCTGGTGACGAGGAAGACGATTGGCACAGGACTTGAACGAAATGGCTTGTATGAGCTAAAGTTGGAATTCGACCATGTGGCCTACATCAGTATTATTTCAGCCTTTGAGTACCACTGTCGGTTAGGTCATCCTTTTCTACTTGTATTAAAACTTCTTGTCCCCTCTTTAGGCTCTCTTTCCTCCTTAGATTGTGAGTCATGTCAGTTAGGAAAGCACCATCGCGTGTCTTGTCCTAGTCGGGTCAATAACAGAGCACTTCAGTCATTTGATTTAGTTCATTCAGATGTATAGAGACCTTGTCCCATTATTTCAAAATTGGGATTCAAATATTTTGTTAGTTTTGTGGATGATTATTCGCGTGTTACTTGGATATATTTGTTAAAATATCGTTCTGATGTATTCTCAACTTTTAAAATATTTTTATCAAAAATACAAAATCAGTTCAAATCCACAATAAAAGTTTTGAGGTTTGATAATGCTAAGGAGTATTTAGAAACAAATTTTGCCAACTTTCTTGCTCAATCTGGTATTTTGCATCAGTCATCCTGTGTTTACACTCCTCAACAAAATGGAGTGACTGAAAGAAAAATCGACATCTCCTAGACATTGCTCGGACCTTATTATTTCATCGACAGGTGCCTAAAGAATTTTGGGGTGATGCTATCCTTACTGCTTGTTACTTAATTAACCGCATGTCGTCTTCTGTCATTAACAACAAAATCCCATACACCTTGCTGTATCCTAACACTCCTCTGTTTCATCTACCTCCAAAAATTTTTGGGTCTTTATGCTTTGTTCATAATTTTAGTCCTCAAAATTCTAAACTTGACCCTCGGTCCCATAAAGGCATCTTTCTTGGATATTCTCGTACCCAGAAAGGCTACCGATGTTTCTGTCCGTCCCTCCAACGATATGTTCTATCTGCTGATGCTATATTTTTTGAACAACAAGCTGGCCATTCATCAACTGTCTCTCCTAGCCCCTCAGATTTTTATGACTATTTGACCTTTCAGGAAACTTTATCTAAGCAAGTTGACTCTTTGGCTAACACTAGTACTGGTAAAGATCCACAGCGACTTTAGGGTCCCCTCCAGGTTTATACACGTCGTCATGCTCCTGCTCCTGTGCCTCCGTCTACCTCAACATCAAATCATGTTTCAAGTGCTACTGTACCCTTGTCTGAGGGTTCTGATGACCTCCCTATTGCGTTGCATAAAGGTAAAAGAACTTGTACTCAACATCCCCTCTCCAATTTTGTTTCTTACTCTCATCTTTCCTCTTCCTTTAAATCTTTTATCTCTTCATTGGACTCACATTTGGTTCCCAAGACTGTGTCCGAAGCTCTATCTATACCAAGTTGGGTTGAAGCTATAAAGGATGAAATGGCTGAGCAAAATGATACTTGGGATTTGGTATCTCTTCCGCCAGGCAAAAAGGCTATTGGCTGCAAATGGGTTTATACTGTTAAACTTAATCCTGATGGAACTCTGGCATGCTTGAAGGAACGTCTGGTTGCTAAGGGTTTCTCTCAAGTCTATGGTCTTGATTATTTGGATATGTTCTCTCCTGTTGCTAAGATGACTTCAGTGCGGATTATCATTTCTATTGCTGCTACCTATCACTGGCCTCTACACCAGCTGGACATTAAAAATGTATTTCTTAATGGTATTCTTGATGAAGAAGTCTACATGGAGCAACCACCAGGCTTTGTTGCTCAGGGGGAGTCTCTAAAGATCTGCAAGTTAAAGAAGTCTTTATATAGCCTAAAACAATCTCTGCGTGCCTGGTTCTGTCGCTTTGCATTTGCGGTCCAAGACTTTGGTCTCAGTAGATCAGAGAAAGATCATTCTGTCTTTTGGAGACTACATAATGGCAAGCGAATCCTACTCGTTGTATATGTGGATGATATTATAATCACAGGGGATGACACAATTGGGATTAGCGGTTTGAAGAAACATCTACATAAGCACTTCCAGACTAAGGATCTAGGGTCTCTCAAGTACTTTCTGGGTATAGAGGTGGCCAAGTTAAAGAAGGGTATTCATTTGTCACAAAGGAAATATGTGCTCGATATGCTTTCAGAAGCTGGCATGTTAGGATGTAGAAGCATTGATTCTCCAATGGATGTAAATGTAAAGTTGTTACCCGATCAGGGGGAGCTTCTTGAGGATATTGGACGATTTAGAAGGTTAGTAGGAAAATTGAATTATTTGACTGTAACTAGACCAGACATCACATTTGCGGTAAGTGTAGTCAGTCAGTTTCTATCAGCATCAAGAACTACTCATGTGGATGTTGTATTAAGAATTCTGCGGTATCTAAAGAAAGCTCCAGGAAAAGGTCTTCTCTACTCAGATCAAGGACATACAAGGGTGGCAGGATTTTCAGATGCAGACTGGGCTGGGTGTCCGGTTGATAGGAGATCAACCACAGGATATTGCATATTTGTTGGAGGAAATCTTGTGTTATGGAGGAGTAAGAAGAAAAGCATAGTATCCCGTTCTAGTGCAGAATCAGAATACAGAGCGATGGCAAATGTAACTCTGAAAATGGTCTGGATTCACGATTTGTTGGCAGAAGTTGGTCTTTCCCCAGAATGTCTTATGAAACTGTATGGTGACAATCAAGCAGCAATCCATATTGCTAAGAATCCTGTTTTCCATGAGTGGACGAAACACATTGAAGTCGATTGTCATATTGTTCGAAGGAAGATTGTAGATAAAATTATCACTACGAGATATGTATCGATAGGTCATCAGTTAGCAGACATTCTAACAAAACCACTTGGGAAAACTCGGGTAGACTTCATTTGTGACAAGCTGGGCATGTATGATATATATACTCCAGCTTGAGGGGGAGTGTTGAGAGATGTTATATAACGTGGTTTAGTCCCACATGGGGTATGAGACCAGACTTGTATCTATAGTTGAACTATATATAGACCAGAGTAACTCCTTTTTCTCCAAATCTCTGATATTAACAGTACATAATATATCAAGGAAATGAGTCAAGTAAAATGAGTACCTCTTTGTGGTCTTCCTCTGAGATTGTTTGATAGAATATTTGGTAGATAACTTTTGAGTATTTGCCTCTGGAGCAGAACCTAATTTCTCAGTGACAACCCATTCATTCACTTCGCCTACCTCCAATAGACCTGTTAAAGCTGCTCTCATCCGAAGCATAGACATAACATTTTCAAAGAAGATCCAAAAAAGCAATAGATGGAAAGAGCTGCAGCGGAACATATAATGCATTAATATGTTATTTTAAGATATGACTTCTAGTTGATAGTGCCACCATGTATAATATTATTTGAAACTTCTCAAGAACATTTAAACCTTGGAGTTCCTACGGCGTGCAGAAGTGTAATGGTTGTCGGGATGTAAGCTACCCCCCACATTGGAATTGAAACCTCAGGAACTAGAACTGATGCTGGGATTACCACGCAATAAAATGTAAATGTGACGATATGTGCGATAATCCTCCGAACAATGAAGAAGCTGTATATCAAATGGATCTTCTTCCATAAAGATACTTTCTGCAAGATAATACCAAAAGTAAGCTTCTCATGTGTAGATTAAGAACGTGGACAGATACAGATAGAAGGAAGAATCCCAACCTTTGCCTTTAGTATCTCGACTGAAACCTTTCTAAATAGATTAGCAGGACCACAGGCCCATCTATATTGCTGACTCCGGTATGCCTTAAGTGTACTTGGCAGTTCGCTTTTAACCTATAAAAAAGATAGTTAATGATATTTGAAGCATTTCAAGCTGAAAGCATGTACATAGCAATTTACAGAGTAATTAAAATATTCATGCTTATCCCGCAAACGACATTAGCAACTGGGTACTGCATCCAGGTCAAGATCATTAGGAGAAGGCCTTTAACATCTTATATATTTAGACCTCTGTTGTCTAAGTTGTGACGGTCTAAATTGGAGTAGTTTTATTGGTGGAAAATACATTGTTACCTTTCATTGTGCCAGAACCATTTATGTATGTATAATGAGAACTTTAAAAAGTACGTAACATGATGCTCTAAAACAGTAACAACTTATAAGAATTGGTGACCTAAAAGCAATTCCAATGATTTGAGGGACTAATTCAAAACATTAAAGATGTAAGGGACTTATATTTAAAAAAAAAAACTTAATAAAAATACCTACTAGGCGCTTCATGATCATACAGATGTGATTACGGTACCGTAAGCATGTCACCAAGTAATTCAAAGTGAAGCATTTTCAGAGAGAGAAGGTGGGGGTAAAAAGACCACCTTAATGTCACCAACATATACAAATTTCCAACCGCGAAGTGATGCCCGAACTGCTAAATCCATATCCTCCACAGTGGTTCGATCTTTCCAGCCGTCAGCTTCGTTTATAGCTGAGATTCTCCAAACTCCAGCGGTTCCTGTAACAGAAAATTGGCACAATTGTTAAACCTCCCTTTCTCTAATGTCTTGGGTTTTTTTTATTTTCTTTTTAAATATATACGTAATCCCTTTTCTCCTGTGTCGACTAGTCTCTTTAATTAAGATTCCTCTATATTCTTAAAGCTCATGAAAATGTGTCCGTTTATAATGTACTAGCCCAATTTAATTATTCCGAGCACTCAACTTAATTAAGACCCTAAATCAGCTCTAGAAATACTATGTACGTATCCGGGTATAACAGAGGATAAAGAGAGATGCTTTTGCTTTACCATTGAAACCAAATAACTTGAACAGGGTCGAACACGATTCCTGTTCAACTTTGAAATGGTAATCCATTGACATTTCTTGTAGCCTTGTCATCAGACACTCGTTGGAATTAACTGATACATCAAAGAAGGCACATTTTAGATAAATTTTGGAAATGGTGTAACGTGGTACATATTCACGCAAGTAAAATACGCAGACAAGGAGACGAAATTGCATTTAGATTGCAAAAAACAAAATTTAACTAATTAGGTAATTAGTTAGTTGCTCACCAAATTTCCAGCGGGCCTGAACAAGGCCAACGTCAGGGTTATGGACGAGGAAGGGAACGGTTCGGATCAAGAAATCGGAGTCGGGTTGGAAATCCGCATCGAAGATGGCAACGAAATCGCAGTGCTGGACATAGTCATGCTTCATCCCTTGCTTGAGGGCCCCAGCTTTGTAGCCAGATCGATTGTCCCTTATCTCGTACTTCACCTTCACTCCCGCGCTCGCCCATTTCGAGCACTCCGCCTCCACCATTTCCTATTTTCCATTTTATTTTATTTTACTTAATAGGGGTTGGGGGGAAAAAATTAGGTCACATAATCTAGCAATTCTCAGTAAGGGCTCTGTACTTCTTTCTGTTCTTTATACGAAAATAAATTAGCACCAGTTAATAAACTAGGGCATTTAAAGTCTTGATTGATTGATTGAAGCATGCTGGGCCCCATAGCTAGAGGCGTGTTTAGGCCGGGGCCTGACATTGGCCCGTTCTATAAAACCCGGTTGGGCTATACGGATATAACAACCATTCACCTGGCTAATATAAGTTGAAGAGAACAATTTGCTCACCTATTTATTGATCAGTATACATGTAGTTTGATTGGGTTGCATGAATTTTTTTTTTCCAGCCTAGAGTGTTTTAGTCATTGCGTATTTCAAATTAACAATATTAAGGGCGTTATTTTAAAATAAAATAAAAAGACAGTTTTTCTAAAATTAACCGAAATCTTTTTCTTTTTTTTAAGAAAAAGGGGAGAGAAAAAAGGGGAAAGACCCCACACCTTTATTTCTGGGTCAGTAGAATCATCAAGAATCTGGACAATGAGCCTATCAGAAGGCCACGCCAGCCTGCACGCAGCTCCAATGGACAACTTGTACACCTAATCGTCAGTACAAAAAACCGAACACATGTTTAACAACAGGCAAATCTCAAACAAGAACAAAAATAAAAAAAGGTAATTACACCACCGTTAACGGTAGGAACAGCTGTATATATTAAATTTTAATTTTATCTGGCGCCGGCCACTGCACACGTTACCTGTCTCTCATTGTACATAGGAACCTGGACGAGAACCATGGGGTAAGCGAAGCTGCCCAGCTCCTCATCATCATCTCCACGTCCCATGGGTTCCCACTTGTACACCCTCATCGGCCTCCACCGGAAAACCTTAGCAAAGAGGCTGGACGGGGCCGCATCAGCAGCTTCTCCCAACAGCCATCGGCCGAGGCGTAACCCAGGCACGACGCCGACGGCAAGCCTGCAGGCAGCTTCAGGAATCCCCCCTCACCCTGACCACGCCTCCCCCATTGTGGATTTGGCCTCAGCCGGCGTGACGCTGCATTGCGCGAAGGAAGGGAGGACCAGCCAGAGTCCGTTTTACTGGCCTTGGTGGAGAAGCACAGACTAGCCATTGTGAATCAGCGCGCGGACGCAGGCTCCTCCGCCGCCGCTGCTGCTGCGCGCAACCAATCTACTGCCGTTTGAAATATATTGAATCTGCTGCTCTGTCGTCTGTGCTAATTAGGGAGGAAAGCAGATACGCTTTTCCAGCGAGTCTGCCACTGTACTTAATTACTTATGAGGACCGTGGTTTCTTTTTTTGGTGGGGGTGGACCAGTCACGTGGCTCGCGTTTGGATGAAACGTGGAATCAGCTTTTTTATTCCTTAAAAAAAAAAAATTTTTAAGGGGGATAGATGTAGGAGGATGAAGGGGGACAGTTGTTACTACTAAACCATACGTGAAGACTTAAGGAGTAGCTTTTATAGAAAATAAAAGAACTTTGATTTGTTTTGTTTTGTTTTTCTTTTTTTGTACTCCCATAGTCGTAGCTAGGCACAAGGCCTACAGCTAAATTTTATGACAAATTATGCTGGAGCTGATGAAACAGTAGTATCACCAGTGGATCGGGTAGGAGAATCTAGTGAGAAGGTTCGTATATATATATATATATATAGAGAGAGAGAGAGAGAGAGAAAAAAATGGGTATGCTTGGTACCAAGCACAAAAGGTTGTGCTTGGTAGTGAGGTGGCATAATCCCCTCCACTCATTCAAATGATTGCAAATATTATCAAGCCTTGGTTTAGAATTGGGCATGCATTTCTTCTCAAAGAAGAAAGTAGGCCCCATGGTGGGCGCCAAACTGTTGATGCTCGTAAACAAACATTCGATGTGGGTTTCCCACAGTCAGATGCAGTTTCGATCCTAGCGACGGTGGGGAAGAAGGAGAGGATGAATGTTAGAGTTGACTCCTTCTCCGACTTTATGCTCGATTCTGGGCACGCGATGTGGACTGATAGTCTGTACATGCAAGAATCGCAGGAATACGGGGCTAGTTTCCCCTGTGGTATCTCCGATGGTCAAGTCAATTAGTGAATTTGGGGAGGGTTTTTGAGAGGCCCCAGGGCCATTGAGGTCCTTGCAGAGGGGTTTTCCACCAATGGAGGTCTGTAGAAGAGGTGCCGACTCGGAGGAGCCGAGTTCTTCCAAAAGGTCTCTAAAGAAAATGAAGAGGGATTCTGAAGGTGATGACCCTGAGCCTTAGGAATAGATGTCATTCTCCCTCCCCCTTTCTCTTTCTTTTTTTCCTTCTTTTCTTTTTTTTTTGCAAGCCCTGTCGGGCCCCTTTTTTGTAAAAAAGATATGTACAAGACTCCTTTTTGAATGAGAGTGATTTCTCCTGTCATTTGCTTTTGAGAGTTATAATGATTTGAACATGCTGAGACTCAGCTTTTTTCCCCAAAATAATGGTTGCTTCCCTTTTCCCTTCTGCTTATTCTTCATCCATTCGTCAAGCTTTGGGCAGTCTTTCTTCTAATGACCAGTCTCCTTGCACCAAGCACGCTGATCTTTTCTAATTATAGGATATCCTACTCTAGATGTGACTTCCAATTCTTCCGGTTTGGATCCTTCCCTCTTGCGGCCAACACCTCTGCTACCGGCTCAACTGAAGCTTCCTTATCCTTCTTTCAAAGCTGATAATTCACAAGTGCAGCAGTCACATCACTATACGAAAGAGATGTCTTCTTATTAATAAGAGTAAGAACGAATGTCTCATATTCCTCATCGGGCAAGGAACTCAACAATAGCAACGCCTTGTCCTCATCTTCAATCATGACATCCACATTCGCTAAATCCGCAAGAAGCTTTGTGTAGGTGTTCATGTGATCACTAATTGAGGTTTCCTTCTTCAACTGGAAACGATAAAATCTCCTCTTCAAATGCAAGCGGTTCTCAACACTTTTTGTTAAATATTTGTTTTTGAGAATCTCCCAAATCTTCTTCGCAAAAGTCGCATTCACCACATCATATTTTAGATCTTGAGTCAAATAAGACCTAATCACACCACATGTCATTCGATTCATCTTCTTCCAAACCTTCTCTTCAATATCATCTGGCTTTCCATCTAACTCCAAGGTATCCTCCAAATTCTGCGCGTTCAGTACATCCAAAATCTCGCATCTCCATAATCCAAAGTTATTTGTGCTATTAAACTTCTCCACGTCTATCTTCATAGAGTGGATATTCAAACTCTGGATGGTCTTCGCGTCATAAGCACCACCCTCGACACCCGAAGCAGTTTTTTCCCCGATATCTTACTCAACGTACCAACGAACGAAGAATAGATTCAAAATTAAAAAGATAGAGTCTTTACCAAAAGATCCTACCTTTATCACCAAACAAAACCCTAGATGAGCTTTCAGATTGATCTACTCCTCCAACTAAGAGATCTAGAATCTGGAGCTTTGATACCACTTGTTGTGCACAGCGGAAATTTTTGTAGAGTTTCTGGTGCACAATAGGAGAGAAAGATCGTAATAAGAATTCTCGTCTCACCAAGGAAACAAGAATCTGAAGTGAATATCTCAACAAAGTAAGATATCAGTTCTTCCTCTCATCAGTTCTAGGACTGACCTGTCGAGGGAACCTAATAAACTATTACAATTGCCACAACTAGCAAATCACATAAGTTTTACGTGGTTCGGCAAATTACCTACGTCCACGAGACAAGAAGGGGATAGATCTCACTAATAAAGAGGGAGAGTACAAATAGAGATTACAACCACACAAAATAACCCTCAAACTAACTCTTAAATCTCTCACAATCTCTCTCTCAAAAGGATGCTCAAAGCCCTAAAAAGGACTGCTCAAAATCTCCCCTAACTTCTGCGTTTTTCTCCCGCAGCAAAAAAAAAATCAACTCTGCCAAAGAAAATAAAACCCTTTGCATGCCTCCACAAATTTTCTCTTCTGCGCATTTTATTTTTTCAAACCCAAACATAGGAAGTGATTGAAGAGCTATATATAGCTGCGGTATAAAAAAATCGTTCAGGAGAAAATCGAAAACCGCACATGTCCTTATCTCCTCACGTCACATCCTTTCACACTTGCACCGCTTCAATGTGATCTCTTCACACGTCCACAAGCGTGGTGGCCCCCACGCCATGTTCACAGTGGGTGCAATTAAAACTTTGGGATTTATCTGTAACGTTTTAAAATATAAAATTAATCAACGTAAAGTTTATAAAATTAGATCTTAAATATCCCAAAGTTTTAAACATTTTACAATTAAATATCATTAAGTATTTAAAATCCCAAAGTTTTAAATATTTACAGTCAAATACCATTAAGTATTTCAGATAGTATTTTCCCCTTCCTGTATTTATTTTTTTCCAAATAGTATTTCTGGCTGTGTTACCAGCAGGTACTTAAGTGCAAAGTAGAGAAAACTATAGGGTCTCTACTGAAATCAAACAGAAATGCCAAAACCGAATTCGAGTGCGGGTGTTACCGTCGATCCGCTGCGATAGAGGAAGAGGTCTCGATGATAGCGAAGAGGTCTCGACAACAACGGCACAGGGGCGACGACGGCGCTGGGGCGGTGCTGTTGCGTTGCTCGACGATGACGAGATCTAGATGACGAAGAGTTCTGCAAACAAATTGATGATGATAATGATTACACAAACTCGAGATGACGACGAGATCTCGACAACGAAGAGGTTTTGACGACAGCGAACTCGAGACGACGACAACTCTCTCCGACGAGCTGGAGCCGACGACGAGATGGAGATGGCGGTGAGTGTCGATGATGAACTGTAGCTAGCTGAGGACGACATGGAGACGATGAGGATGACGAAGTGGAGACGATGAGGAGCACGAGAGCGGACAACGACGTGGGGGAGCGGATGACGAGATATGGGGGCGGCGATGATAAGGAGGTGGATTTTTTTAACTAGGGTTTAAATCGTTATTTTTGTGGTTAGAGGATGATTAGGATTTGTGGGTTTGTAAAATTCAGTTTCGGGTTTTAGTTGGGACTTCAGGTTTGGTTATGAGATTTGTTAATAGAAATAGGTTAATTTCAGTCCAATTATGATTAAGAGTCTCATCAATGAAGGTAATGGACCTCTTCATTTTTAAGGAGACCCAATAACGATGGTAGTAGGATCAAATCAACGAAGGGATTAGAAAACCGTTATCCCATATCACAATATTTCTCTATTATTTGTAATAACTCGACGAAGGGTTTAAAACCCGTCGTTATTATATGCACATTAATGATGGACAACTGGTCCCTTCACTAATTTTGGTCGTTAAATAGCATATTTCTTGTAGTGATTGTTCATTCTTGAAGAGCATCGAAATTACACCGTTTAAGCTAAACAAAGCCTGGAATCGCATCATTCAAGCTAAGGAGGATTAGCCTATAGCTATGAGGAGCCAATGTGGGTATAGCCCTTGGAGGCTCCAGCTTCTGGGGGGTATTTGCTAAGTGGAACCCCAAAAGCCCTCCTAAGAAAAGACACACCACTATGGTGCTTGTCTGGCTTGAGAATGAAGCACATGCTTCTAATCGTCGCCACAGATGAAAAACCTCGCCGCCTGGACAGCCAAGAGGCCTGGGGTTGGATCACAAACGGAACCCCCAGGGATAATAATCAGATCCAGTATCGCTCAAGCTTCTGTCGGCAATGGATCCCCCGAACAAGGAGCAGCGATCAAGTCTGTGGTAGGCTTCTCGGACCACCACCATCTTCAAAGGAGAGTCCTTCCTCACCAAGAGAGGGGTTGCGGGAAAAACTCAAGGGCTCTCCATCTGGTCTTCTCAGGAAGATTAACAACTCTGGCCCCCACCCGTTGTTCGAACCACCTAAAGACAAAGTAAGAACTGGTGGTCGAAACATGCGACTCGCATCCCCCTAACAAAAGAAGGCTCCCCATTTATAGGATGGTCCGACCGTCGCTATCCCTAGAAACCTCAAGAGGAAAAATATGATCCCATCAAATTCCAGGAAACAAAGCGTCGACATGTGGGGTTCTCTCCAACAAGAAGCCCTCGTCACAAAAGTTGTCTGGGCCTCCTCCTGTTGAGCACTATCCTCCAAAAGCTCGATCAATAGGGCACTGGCCATACAGTGCTACCAACAGTGGATGAGAAAGATCGGTTCAAAATCACCATGTCCACCGTTGACCTATAAGGATCTCAGCAGAAACTCCAAGCAGGTCCTTGGCTGATGGGATGACAAATATGCCAACAACTCAGCGACGCCCAAAGCCAAACAGCCCACTCTCGGGAGGAAGAGCAATCCCCGATTCCGGACGCTCCTCAGCTTGGTAACAAAGATAACCAATGAAGCAATAGCTCGCTTTCATCAAGGCAGGAATGTTCGCAGGCGAAAAGAAACAGCCAAGGAAGCTCCGTCTCGGTGACTTTGTCCCTAGCCAAAAGCCGTCTCCAAGATGCACACGGATAAGAAACATGGAGTCGGCATCATCCGACGGAATAAAAGTGAAGATGAGTTGTACTCTATCATGTATAAATTCCAACAATAAATGGAAATATCAAAAATAAAAAGAAAGACATCAAAGACTCAGTCAGCTGGGCACTCGATTAAGTCGATAAAAGTCATTGGTACCTTCTCAGGATAAAACCAAGGCATAACCCTTTTTCTTCTGCCAACTCCCACAGTCGACTCTCGGCCCTAGGGAAAATATAAGTCCTTGGCACCTAATCTGGATAAAACCAAGGCACAACGACTTCTCGATCGGAATAAATACATTGGTACCTAATCTAAGTAAAACCAAGACAAAACGACTCCTCAGTCGGTCACAAGACCCTGGTGCCTCCTCAGGACGGGCCTAAGGCGCCACGACTCCTCAGTCCTATGAATGGAAAAATTATTATTAATGTATATTAGAAATTTGTAGTCTACAATGACGGTTTTATATATAAACCGTATTTTGTTCATCAACGAAGGGAAAGCATCGTCGTTAATGGGTTACTAATTACCCATTATGAGGATTTTTACGACGGTATTCAACCGTCATTAATTAGTCTTTAACGACGGGAAAATATCTCCATAACTAATGGTAACGATGGAAAAATATCCCTGTAACTAATGATAACGACGGGAAAATATCCCCGTAATTAATGATAACGACGGGAAAATATCCCCGTAACTAATAATAACGACGGAAAAATATCCCGTCACTGATGGTAACGACGGAAAAATATCTTCGTTACTGATAATAACGACGGGAAAATATCCCCGTCACTGATAGTAACGACGTCGACGGTGATAATTACCGTCGTAAATATTAACGACGGTAATATGTTCCGTCGTTATAGACTCTATAACGACGGGTAGTATATCCTTTCGTGACTCTTTAGCGAAGAGGGCTTCAACGACGGGTGACGAAGGGATTTTTCCCCGTCGTTAGCATACAATAACGAAGGTTTTCAGCTCTTTAATGAAGGGAAATCCCTTCGTTAAAGATGTAATTTCTTATCGTGCTTGGAGTTGGAGGAGTTCATGTCAGTAAATCTGTCAATTTGTAGAAAGGAAAACAAATTAAAACATGGAGGGGAGTGCTAATGTAAGTAAAGAGACAGTAAAACAGGCATTAATCCCAAGAGATGAGAGATATTTTGACCTTAATTTGTTCTTGCGGTCCATGTTGTCTGTCTTTTTTTGGACATAGGTTGTGAGAATAATCAAATAAAAAACATGATGAGTGTTCTTGCGGTCCATGTTGTGTCTTTTTTTGGACATCGGTTGTGAGATTAATGAGAGAGAGAGAGAGAGTCCCTATTTAAAATGAGACGACGTATAGTATAGACCATTTGAGTATTTCCTATCACAATAAATTCGATCGTAACAAATAAGCGAGAAAAGTCCAAGGACACTTGCCCATGGCTTAGACGGAGGGATTCTCTCCTAAGGAATAGTGTTTCCTAAGATCTGCCCCCCACCCACATCCTCCTCCTAATTAATAGGGAGTGACGGCAACACTCGCCCAAAGACGAGAGGGTCGCTATATATAGCTAGCCAGCTAGCAGCCCTCAGCTCAGCTCCTCTTGTTTTATCGTCAGATACCTGCATATGCATCACTCTAGCTAGCGCACCAACCGGCTATATACACTAGTACAAAACTGGTCTGTCCAAACGGTTATTGAAACCGTTTGGACAAGTCAAAATAGCCCAAACGGTTAACACCGTTTGGGCTAATATATCCCAAACGGCTTTAGCCCAAACGGGTTTTTTTTTCGGCCCAAACGGTTGTAACCGTTTGGACTGCATTTGCCCAAACGGTTCCGTTTGGACAGACCTGTTTTGTACTAGTGATAGTATAGGAGAGAGTCGATCGCCACAACCCCATCCACGTACGTCGGGCTGTGTGGACCTTACTGCGGCCCAGAAATCATTAATTAATGTGATTGGTACGTATTGGCCAGTACAGATCGACGTTGCAATATACTAGTGGTGGCAGCGCGTGTATAATATATATAGGCTCGTACGTAGTACGTGAGTCTTAATCGCATGTATTGTTCACGTGTTTGCTCTCACCAGATTAATGCGGTTTGGGCTTTTACTTCGAACAATTTTCCCACCGCAATCAACGTCATAATTAATTCCGGCCCTTGTGGTACGATATTTTTCCTAATGGGACGGCGGACATCGAGTCTTTCTTTCAATTAAATCATTGGTTGGATACCATGCACTCATCAATCCCCGACCCCTTAAAAATTAGAGGGACATCTGATCAGTTTCAAAGATTTCAGGGGTCCCTGATCGATATGTAGTTATCGAAGAATGTGCGGTGTTGAAAAGTAAACTTGATTTTGGATCAATGTTTAATTATTGGATCAATGATCCAATTATCACTTGTTGGGCCAAACCCAATACTTGATCTAAGTTCTAGAGTTTTCTCTAGAAATATCTAAACATCTCCACCTCCTTAAAATGTTCTAGAAAATTATAGAGAATGAATATCTAGATATTTCTCTAGATAATTGTAATATAAAATTCTAGATATTATGCTAGAACTCTCTAGATTTAGGATTAAAATATTCTTATGCTAGAACTCTCTAGATTTAGGATTAAAATATTCTAGATATTTTGTACTTTGGATGCTATAAATACCTCCTCTTCCCTCTCATTTGTAATCAAGAAGTTCCAAGTTGTTCTAAGGTGTTCAAAAGAAAATAAAAATCTTCTTCTTCCTAAATTTTCTATTGTCTCTCGAATTCTTAAACACTTTCTCCATCACCTCCAAATATTTCTTCCCAACATGCGGTACTAATGTACGTATCTGAATAGTCCCCTTAAAAAAAAATCAAAACGGTAGATTGACTTAGCATCTGACGCTGATGACCCTCTGACCAGTTCCAATTCTACGCTTGTACCAATATTTTTAGATTGATCTGTCTACATTAAAAAATATTAAATTAAATTTCTCAACATTGGTTGTCCTTAATTACCACCTTTTGTTCTAACCTTCTCCCATTTGATATATATACTATATATATTATATGTAATATATATATATATATATTATATATATATATTATATATATATATATATATATATATATACTATATACTAATATATAATATTATATATAAATAATAATGACAATCTAGTCGATATGAGAGAGATTATTAGCGTTGATGAGTCAATCACACAAAAGAACTTTGCCTCTCTTTTTTTATTTTTATTCAATTTATCTAATATTAAAAATCATCATATTCAAGCACGCAGACACTAGTCCGGTGCATACATCAACTAAGTAATATATATAATATGATTTTTCAAATCCCCCGTCCCCCCCACCCCACCACCTATTACGACGGCATAGTCCACCCTATAGAGCCACAGAAAGATAGCCTGATCACAAAAGGATCGAGGTAAAGACAATGAACAGGGCCATGCACATGGTGACTACAAAAATTTGATGTACAAATTAATTAACGAATGTCGTGCAGCCTCCTCGTTTCTATGAGCCAGCTGGCACATGAGTTCCTACGTAACCAAATCCCATCACCAGAAACGCAATGCCTTGAAGGAAGAGGTATATGAAGTAGCCTGATTTTGCAAATGCAAAGTCATATCCTCCACAAAGCAACAGCAACAACCCCAGTACAATCTCCGACGCGTAGAACCTAAAATCCAAGATCCAGGAGTCAATGCATGCATGTTCAAATATATATATATATATATATATATATATTTTTAATTCCCTAGCTAGCTAATCATGATCAGAGCTAATTAATTTGTTCAATTAATTAATTAGTTAAGGACTGATTCAGATAGGAACATATACCTATGCCAGAACCTAGTTTTAACCTCCTCCTTGTTCTGATGCTCGAGTAAAGGCTTTGTAACTCGGGCATCGTCTTCCAACTTTTCGATGTCCGCAACATGTTCAGCGGGCGGGCTTTGTTCTGTGAGCATCTCCTAATTTTTCAGTGACAATCCACTCGTTGACTCTCCTGGCCTCTAAGAGGCCTGTAACGGCAGCTTTAAGCCGATGGAACGACATCACGTTCTCAAATAGGACCCAAATGATCACTAGATGAAAAGAGCTGTTGTGATAATTAAGGAAGAAAAGTTGTACATTAATTAATCACAAGTAAATGATTTCAGAGATAAAAGAGTGATTGTTGCCTGTAGAATCAATGATTTTCTAATTTTTTTTTTTTTTTAAATTACCTCGGAGTTGCTATCGCTTTGCAGAATGTAATCATGGTAGGGACATAAACTACCCCCCAGTGGGGAACCTCAATTTCAGGAACTAGAACTGTAAGTGGTATTACAATGCAATAAAAGATGAAGGTAACTGTATGAGCTACAATCTTGCTGACAAAGAAGAAGCTGTACAGGACGTAGAGTTTCTTCCAGAATGATACTTTCTGCATAACGTACGAAAGGAAATATATAGTTAATAAAAAAAATTTAATTCACGCGCGGTGACTCCATCATTTTCAGTATATCTGAACAATTGGTACTGATTTGAGGTTAAAGTTATAAACCTTATTCATTATGATCTCTATTGCCATCTTCTTAAAAAGATTAGCTGGGCCGCAGGACCAACGATGTTGCTGAAACCGATATGCCTTGAAAGTACTTGGTAGTTCATTCCTGACCTGAGGTCACTGTAAATTTTAGTGAAGTTTAAACATTATTTTTAAAAAATTGGAGAAAGGATCAACAAGGATGTAGCATGAATAATAAAATTCATGCA